CCATTCAAAAAAAAAAAAAAAAAAAAACAACAACTACCATTCTCTTACAATTCTACTCCATCGCAAAATGATTATCTCTTTAAAACTTCTCAATTTTAGATACACGGTTCGTCCTTCTGATGACAGCTCTTGTTTCAACGTACACGGAGAACCACATCCGCAACTCAGCAATGCAAACGCGCAATCTGCATTTGAAATCAGGCTGAATGTAAAGGATCATACGACGTGAGAATCAGCAGCGTTGATATAATAGAACGCGTTGAGAAGGTAGCACGGGCCTGAGTTAATTATTTTCGGCCGAGTTCGCGATCGCGAACGAACGAAGCAGTTGACTAGCTCGGATTGAACGTCCCTTTGACGGTGGACAGGTCTCAATGAGATTCCCCCCACTGCGCAACCATTTCCAAGACTTTGGTGAAAAAAAAAAAAAAAAAAAAAAGAAATAGTTGCGGCCGACATCACAAAGGGAACTGTAGATTATTTCAAACCTGGGCTTGCAGAAGTTGTTAATCAAAGTGCATCGGAAAGCAGTTCCGAGCTTTGACGTTAAACTGGGATTTGAAGTTGGGAATAACTGCACCGGGGGAAGTATTACAGTAATCGCGCTGCACGGTGAGTCATATAACTCGCCCAGGTTGTAACTTCATGCATTGTAAAACATATTAACTTTTCAATTTTGCAATTTCGCGAATTTTTTCCCGATCGATTTTTCTCAAATTAAAAAAATTCCATTCCGTCCCTTCCGACAGCCTGTTAATTAACGGAAATTGAAACAAAAACCCCTTTGAAACAAAAGTCATCTCGCTAATAAAGTTTAGAGTGACAGAAAATAATAACGTTTCTTTAAATGTAATATTTTACGTGCAGATACACATCATATCAGGGCTCGAAAACGAATAAACGACAGGGGGGAGGGGGGAGAAACTCTAATTCCAGTATTGTCGAGAATTTCTCTCTTTGCTGACTCGAGAAAATTACTTTCGCGAAATACACGAAGCGTAAGAAAGAAATCTAGATTGTGGAGAAGAAGCGTTTGCCGCTTACCTTCACGTTGCCATACTTCCAAGTGAAAAGGGCGACAGCGGGCAGACAGGCGATGACGCAGCACTCTAGGATGAGGATAGCGGTTCTCATCAGCCAATTCAAGGATACCACGCACGGCGAATCGTCCTCGCAGGACTCGCAACCCTCCGCACAGGGAAGACACTCGAACACACCGTCCACGTCGTACTGACTCTCCTCCCCCTAAAAGTATACGTACAAACGTTGAGTTGGACAATTGGAAAATTGGAAAAATATAATTGAGATTGTTGGAAACAGTTTTGGACGAAGAATCATTGAGATTTGGAATTTAGAAACTCGGAGACTCTGACGTTTCAGATACACTTTTTTCAAAATTCTGACAAACAATCGGTGAAAATTTAGAAAATTTTTGACAGGGGAACGCTTGAAATTCTGAACTCGGATCTAATATTTACAATAATAATTACTTACTACAGAATAAATACTAGATATTATAGTATACAACATATATTATATAGTATATTGTATTATACATAATATATACAATTGCTTTTGTATTGGAACATTATTATTATTAGTATTATTAGTATTATTATTATATTAAATATTAAATTATTGGCAATTTATCGGCAATCTATAGATAATTATCATTCAATAACACTAATGTGCCATTGCATAACATATGCTGCGCAGCTCAGTCACTCCTGGCACAATTGATACATTTTCCCCAAAATCTACAAGAAATTCTTCTCTGTTGGTGAAAATTTAGAAAATTTTTGACAAGGGAACGCTTGAAATTCTGAACTCGGATCTAAGATTTACAATAATAATTATTTACTACAGAATAAATA